TACGACCTGGGCAGATGGGATGTCGAGCTCGATGATACTTCTTATTGGGTCTTCCGCACCCAGCGCCACTCAGTGCCACCGTGCTTCGAGGGAAGGTCAAGCTTCGACTTGGTTCCATATCTGGGGTCTCGTTTGAGCGTCACGATGAGGACAAGAAAGCATGTAGGAAATGTGGATGCATTGGCAGGCGTGTACGCAGTTAATCTTTGTGACTGTAGAGGTATCACGGATGTGAGCGCTCTTGGAGGCGTGCATACTCTGAATCTTACCGGCTGTAGGTGTATCATGGATGTGAGCGCTCTCGGAGGCGTATATGCGCTGGATCTTACTCACTGTCCGAATATCACGGATGTGAGTGCTCTTGGAGGTGTGCATACTCTGAATCTAAGTTGCTGTGAGAATATTACGGATGTGCGTGCTCTCGGGGGCGTGCATACGCTAGATCTTGAAGGCTGTAGGGGTATCAGGAATGTGAGTGCTCTCGGAGGTGTGCACACACTGGATCTTAGTTGCTGTGACGGTATCAGTGATGTAAGTGCTTTGGGAGGCGTGCATACGCTGAGGCTTCGTTGCTCTCAGGATATTACGGATGTGAGGGCTCTCGGAGGCGTGTATATGCTGGATCTTAGTTGGTGTGAGGGTATCAGAGATGTGAGTGCTCTCGGAGGTGTGCATACGCTGACTCTATGGGGCTGTCAGGGTATTACGGATGTGAGCGCTCTCGGAGGCGTGCATAAGCTAACTCTTAGTAGCTGTAGGGGTATCAGGGATGTGAGCGCTCTCGGAAGCGTACATACACTGGATCTGACTCGCTGTAGTAACATCACGGATGTGAGCGCTCTCGGAGAGGTGTACTCTCTGACACTGCCACGGGAGGGCTGAGGTTTAATACATTACCGTAGTGGAGAGCCACAACCGTACGACGTTAGATTAGCCACCACGTCAACCCCCCGTCCTTAATTAATAGCGAACACCGACTTGTTTATTTGTTCTATTTGTATCATGCATCTATGCAGTGCCGCTGCGGACTGTCGACAAAGAGTTCTCTTAATCCTTTGTTCGCCAAAAATAGGCATATAGATCAATATAATACGAAACTATAGGATTATTTTATACATTCAGGCTATATAAACAAGAAAAAGATTCAGCGCTGAAAGGTACACCTGCAGACTCCCAGACCAGACCACAGACCAGAGACATGCCGTGCCTCTCTACACAGCGATCCCGTTGGTCGCCAGCTGGAACTCGTCATACAAGTAAGTGCCTGTGGATCCGTAACTTTTGTACACCAGCCTTCTGACCAACCTCTCCAGGTCCTTCTCAGGCACGTCGATGGCCAGCCGCCTCTCGAAGTCCCGGATTGCGTTATTGTTGTACTGGAAGGCGGGGTAGGAGGAGTGGAAGGTCATCACCTCCATCAGGCCCTTCACCTGCTTGTGGTGCAGCCGCGCCACGCCTAGGGCCAGCGCGCACTGCCGTACGTACTCTTCGTAGTCTGGGGACTTAGCCCCCCCCAGCACCTCCACCATCTCCCAGGTCAGCTTCCAGGGCGCGCGCTCCATAGATGCCGCCTTGCCGGGCGCCAGACCGAATACGAAGCCGAAGTCGATGTGTATGAGGTGGCCCAGAGTGTCGATCATGATGTTGCCGTTGTGGCGGTCCTTGATGCCCAGGAGGTACGAGATGACGGAGTAGGCGGAGAGAGAGGTGATGTAGTTGTTGAGGGCGGCGCGGAAGGCGGGGGGTTCGGGCTTTCCCTTGACGAAGCCGTAGGTTTGCTCGTAGTAGGCGCGCAGGGACCCGGGGTAGCTGGGGAATGGTAAGGAGGGAGAGAATAAGTGAATAAGTGAATAATGAAATGAGGCGAATGAGGGAATATATTCCTCTGTTAGACCCCCCTGCTCTCCCCCGTTTCCCTACACCCCTCACCCTTCAATTTTCTTCAGCCCGTCCAGCGAGACTGCGTTGGGGATCAGCTCGATAAGACCCGTGGACTGGGAGGTAGACAGGATCGTGTAGGTGTACAGCCAGCAGGGCAGGTGGGCGTCCTCGAAGGCTGTCTTGTAGTAGCGGATCAGCTGCATCACGAACACCTCCTGTCTCACATCGTCGTTAGACTTGGCGATCAGGCCGCCCAGCTTCCAACCTGGCAGCTCTCCAAAGGGCGAGCTGGCCTTGAGGCGGGTGGCGCGCTCGCTGAAGGTTTCGCCGATCAGCGTTCCTGTTGTGGCTCCGTCCCCCTCCTCCTCCTTCATATCGAGCTGTACATCGTCCGACTTGACAACCTCGTCCGACTTTCCCCCCGCCTTCCCCGCCCAGGCGATGGCCCCCGCCACCGCGCACTGGGTAGTGGCGGGGAGGGGCTTAGGGGTGGTGGGGCTGTGGCGCACAGAGGACAATTTTCTCGCCCCCAGTCGCACCAACCCCGTGCCTGTGGACTGCCAAACACTCGGCGTGCCCCCCTGCTCGCCCAGGGGAATAGCGCGCGTGGTTTTCTGGGGTATGGGCGAGTCGTCAGCAGAACCTGCCGACGCCGGCTCAGCCGTAGAGGAGTCGTTCTCCCAGCTGGACGCGCTGCCGCATTGCACCTCCACTGTGCGATCTATCACCTGCTCCTCCTCATACTGCTCCATCTCAGAGGCCAGGAAGGAGGCGGTGTCTATTCCCAGGGGATGCACTTGCAGTTCGAAGATCATCAAAGCGGGGCAGCGGGCCTTGGTGGAGAAGGCGTGGCCCTCGTTGGGCAGGGAGCGCAGAATCTGGATAAAGGGTGGGGGATGTGGATGGAGGGGGGTGTTCAGGGTCTGTAGTGTATGTAGGGCAGGGAGTGGAGCCAGATAGGGCAGTATAGGGCATAATAGTACAGGATAGGGCAGCACAGGGCAGGGAATACAGGGATGCGGGGGGCACCTGCGTGAAGCTCCCGGTGGACCCGGCAATGGGCAGGTAGGAGAAGGGGGGGATCTGCAGGTCGTGCATGTCCCGTCTGAGGAAGAACTTGCGCACTGTGCGGTCCTTGAACCGCAGCCTCTCGCAGATGTTGGTCATGTTGGTGAGCAGCACGCGTACCTGTTTTATAGGTAGTAGGTAGTATGTAGGAGGGTTTTAATAGGTAGTAGGTAGTATGTAGGAGGGAGGGTTTTATAGGTTGTATGTAGGAGGGGGGTTAGGGGTTTTGGGGTTTAATACAAATCAAAGTCGGACGCACCTGCTTGAAGTAGTTGAAGCGCTTGCGCTGCACAGGCGTCATCTCCCGCTCCTCTATGATGGGGCATTTGCGCGGAGAGAGGGAGGCAGAGTCGTCGCCCTCCTGTGTGGTGGTGGGAGAGGGGGAATGGGGGCCCAGGCTTGAGCACTCGATATCATCCAGTACCACCTGGGGGGCGCCGGACACCTCGCTGTGTGTGTTTGCGGTTGTGTGGTGAGGTTTGTATGTGTGAAGATTTGAGGTTTGGAAGCGACGACGCAGCAGCAGTCCTGCGAAAGATGCATTTATACATATAAAACCCACAACAGCACCACCCCATCTGCGCCATCTCTCACCTGCGCAGAAACGCCACCCACTTGTCGCGCTGCTCCTTGTCCTCCGCGCGCAGCTGGAAGCGGTTGTTGTTCGAGTAGTTGATTATGTCGAACCGCGTCTCGCCGTACTTACTGTCCAGGTGGTGGGCCTCGATGTGGCACGACTGGAGGGCTATGGTGCGCAGCGGGTTGACCGAGTGGGGCTCCATGAAGCACAGCAACACCCTATTATCCACCACGAAATGGCGCTGTTTCCAGCCCTTCGTGTGCAGAGAGCTCTTGCGCGTGTTGCGCTTGAACAGCAGCGTGCCGTTCAGCGCCCCGTCGTAGAAGTTATCAGAGGTGTGTCTAGACAGACGCGCGGCGATCTCGTGCTTTTTGAGCGTGGCCAGCTCGCTGCCTAGCTGGGCGTCGTCCATTTCGTCCATGGATTGACGTGGGTCCATAGACATGCGCTTCATCAATACGGTCTCCTCCTTGTGCGTCAGAGTTTGGCTGCCGAATATCACCGCGCGCTCGAGGTCCTGCAGCAGCCTCGAGCAGCGCCGGAAGAAGTAGGGGTTGCAGGCGGCGTTGTGTGTGCCGCTAACCCTCTCTGGCTGGTAGTCCTCCAGCGCTGCGGCGAACAGGAAGCTCAGCTGCAGCGCGCTGTGCATACTCGTCTGCGCAATAACCATGGCCAACTTCTCCAGACCTTGCGTTTGCGAGTTCTGGTCGAGGTGGATGATGAGGTGGGCGAGTTCCAGCATGTAGAACTCGATGTCGTCGAAGACTCGCTTTTCGTCAGTGAATTTGCTGCGCGGGAGGGGTCGCGGGATGGTTATACAGAGCATGTCGAGCGCTCACCAAAAGCAACGAGGCAGAGAGAATAACATCAGCATGGCATGGGGTAAATCACAACCAGCGCAGGAGCAGACCGATAAGAAGTGTCTGCACGGCGCAAGCAGGGTGCGTTCTCACCAAAGCAGGTCCGCCAGGTTTGCCACGGCCTCCATCTTGTGCTTGTTCTCCCATATTTTGACGAGCACCTTCAGCACGCAAATGGTCGACTTGTCCGCCGTCAATATGTCCAGGTCGAGCAGGGATTCCATCTTGTCCGCCTCCATCGTGACTCGCGGCGTTAGATTCGATGCTACTGTTTACCACGACCACCAGCTGACTCCGCACGCTCGAGGCTGGCTGAGAGCGGCAGTGGAGGAACAAGCAGGTCGCTCGACACACCACAGGAATGAAGAGGACTGATGAGGTGCCAGCTTGAATACCAAGTGGATCAAGCAGAGTGCGGTTGGAGAAGATCGCGGCATCATCAAAAAGGAGTGATTTTGAGTAGATGTGCGAAGAATTGACGCAGTGAAAGTGATGAAATACGCAAAAACCACGTCAATATGTTTGGGACATTTTATTGAAGAATTCGCTGTGGGAGGCCATTACATTCCTTGATACACATTCTGTTTTCGACAATCATCGTCTTACTGACTGGTTGTATGGTGTAGTGGTTATCACATTTCGTTAACACCGAAAAGGTCTCCGGTTCGAAACCGGATACGATCACTTTTTGCCTTTTTACCTCGATTTTGTTTTTCTCTGCCAAGATCTATCTATCACATAACAATGAATGTACTAGTTCCACAATCATCATTTTATTCTATTCAAGTGATCTTAGAATCTTGTGAATCGAGGGTTACCCATCTCTAGGATGGTCAGTTTCGTCAGTTTAGGCGCTTCTTGTTGTTTTTCCTCTGGCATAAAAGCCACACGCCTTTTGGTGAAGAGAGATAAAATCTCGAGAGTTGGGAGGGATCAACAGCTCTCAAGAGCAGGCGCTCGTCACCATCGGAGCCATCACGGACAGGGAAACAGAGTCGGCTGGTAAGACGGAGGCGGCGACCTAGACATAGGACATAGGACAGGAGCCACGAGCCCAGGATCAATAGCCCCGGCAATGGTGCACGGAAACAAAGGGAAGAAGAAGAAGGCAGCTTCGGCCAGCGCGCTGTCCACGGTGGATATGTTCTTCAAGCCGCAGAGGGCAACCACCTCTGGGCAGGCAGCTGCTGAGCCAGTAAAGCGACCTCGCGGCCGCCCGCCGCTGATCCCTGGGATCGGCACCAAGACGAAGACGACCTCGAAGCAGGGAACGGGATCGTCCAAGTCACGCCTGCACTTTGTCCCAACGCTGAGCGAGATGTTGGCCAACCCCAGCTTGTCCTCGTACGAGGACAAACCGAGCGCCAAGGGGAGCAAGAAGGCCAAGGAGTACAATCCCTGGGAGGAGACCGTCGTGCACGTGCCCAAGCCGAGGCCGCTGGCGCAGGAGACGGCGCGCAAGGTGATGCACGCTCTGATGCTGTCCGACCCGATGAGTCTGGCGGATCTGTGCAAGTATTGTCCTGACTGTAGTCGCGAGAGCGTGCAGGGCGTACTGGAGGTGCTGCAGGTGGTGGGCGTGGTGGTGCAGCTGACTAACAAGGACGCCCCTAAGCCCCACTCGGCCTCCAACGTGGGCGTATTCTGTCTAGCGGAATTCTCGAAGTTCGACTTCTCTTGTGCGATGATCTCTCTGAAGGAGGAGGTGGAGGTGAGGGAGGACGCCAACAGGAAGGTAGCGAAGCGCCTGGAGACGCTGCAGGTAAGAGGGAGGGTAGAGAGTAGAGAGTAGAGCTTAGAGAGTAGAGCATGCATAAAGCGTATAACGTAGACTGTAGGGCACAGTGATACTTTGGACCATGTATTAATGTCCCATTGCACGTGCTTAATCGCACAGAGGATGCAGACGTACATGTGACGTTCCGCGTGCAGGGCTGAATTCTCACTTAATTCTCACTGAATTCTCACTTAATTCTCGCATAATCGCGCTATCTCCTCTCCTCTCACTGTCCAGCTGCTGTCAGACAAGCTGGAGGCTATGGAGGCTGAGGATCGAAGTGGCGAGTTTAAAAGCGTGCTAGGCGGCATACTCCAGGAAGACCCGGATTTGTGGTACGACCCCCTCTACCGTGCCCTCGCCGACCGCACAGGCACCCCCAAACCCACCTTTCCTCGTTAGCGTTCATGCTAGGCTTCATATGTACATACTGTAACTACAAACAAGAATGTGGGGCGCTCGCATAGAAGTTATCGGCAAGATTTAGTGTAGTCGGTCACCCCCTTGAAAGGTGTACTGTAAGTTACGTACGTTACGCTCTCAATTTTGGATTTCAAATCCAGGATTTCCGATTGCGGGGGGGGTCGCGGGGGCTCTCGAGTAGGGGATTCAGCAGTCCGCTATGCTCTTGCCGGTAGTTACCCTGTAAAGTTAACGATTGTGCCCCACTCAAAAACTGTCACCCCCTCAAAAACAGCGCCATTTAGTGCATATTGCGATACGTAACAAAACAGTGCCATTTGACCAGTCCACAAGTACTGCTACTTGGGGGTAATTTTACCCGCCAAAAATTGTTTATTCCAAGTGGGTTTTAATCAATAAGATAGGAGACGTCTTTATAAAACCCGCGTAATCATTCAGTTACATATTCTCGCGGCTTCGCGGCTTCTAACCGCTCACCAGGAGGCCGGATTGCGATGAAAGATGTCCACGGTTTTTGTATATGGCAAATCCATAACTTGGATGATTTCACATTTCCCGACATCGACACAGAGTCAGGTAACAGTATAAGCCACACAGACGTGGGCCACGGGTCGGTGAAGGTGGGTGTTGAGAGGGCGATGAAAGTGGCCCTGAGCCTGTGCCTGCTCAGCTCGTTTGGTCGTAGCTTTCGGCCGAGGAACGGTGGAGGGTGGGCAGGCAGCACTGCAACTTTGAAACTGGCAACGATGGCGACCTCAGACCTGAGCGAGGATTACACCGCCAGATTCAACAATGTGGCACGTGCATACGGCGGGGGCGGAGAGGTCCTTCTTCGACTGGCGGATGCTCACGTGTGCGTGATCGGCTTAGGTGGGGTGGGCTCGTGGGTTGTGGAGTCGCTAGCACGTAGTGGCGTGGGCAAGCTGACCCTGATCGACATGGATGAGATATGTATCAGCAATGTGAACAGACAGGTTATGGCGCAGAGCAGCACAATCGGCAAGTTCAAGGCGGAGGCGCTGCGCACGCGCGTGTTGGACATCAATCCCTCTGCGCAGGTGACGATGGCCCTGAACTTCGTGCGCCCAGACAACGCCGAGGAACTGCTCACGCACAAGAGCCCCCACGCCTACGCCACCGCCAACGCCACCGCCACCGCCAACGCTGGTGCCTCCAGTGCTGCTTCCGACGCCAACGCTGATGCCAACGCTGATGCGGCCTTCGCCCACACATACCTGCAGCGGTTCGACTACGTGGTGGATGCTGCAGACGGGGTTAGCGACAAGGTAGCCATCATCGACGCATGTGTGCGATCAGGCACGCCGGTAGTTACCTCGGGTGGGGTGGGGGGGCTGCTGGATCCTACATTGATCACGATCACGGACCTCGCACATGTTACAGGTAATGATTATTACTGATTAGTTAACTTGTTTTGATTGCAGGGCAATATAGGGTAGCAGGTTAGCAGTAGATTATCCATCACCAATTTCCTTTTTATCCAACAGGAGACAATCTGCTAATGCGGGTGAGAAAGAAGCTCCGCCAGCATAGCGGCTACCCCAGTGCGAGTGAGCGCAAGGCGCGTAGGTGGGGGGTCAAGGCGGTGCACACGCTGCCCACGGGTGTCCAGAGGAGCGGAGGCCCCAAGGATGGGACAGGGGCAGGGGGGGGAGGGGGGGCAGGGAAGTCTGGTACTAGGTCTGGTTCTGATGATGACGAATCCTCTGCTCTGTCCGAGGGTGACAGCGATAGCTCAGATGCAGACGCAGACTCGAGCCTAGGCCCAGGCTCTGTCGGCAGCCTCCGCAAGTGCGACGTGTCCTTCGGCAACGTCTGCTTTGCCACAGGAGTGGCGGGCTTCATGATGGCTAGTGTGGTGGTGAATGCCCTGGGTGCGGGTGAGCTGCAGCAGGCGCGGCCTAAGCGGCTGGGCAGCTTTCACGCATACCTCAGCAAGACAGAGAGGGAGAAGGCTAAGAGCGAAGCAGAGATGGGTGGGGAGGGCGGCGAGGGTGGAGGGGGTAAAGCGGGAGCGGATATTGCCCACGTTGTCGAGGCCCCCGCACCCACGCGTGCCGACCAGGAGGCAGTTATCAGCGCCACAATGCAAACCCCAGACCATCTCGATCTATTCGACGCCCACTGCCACCTGCAGCTGCCGCCCCTGCACACCCACACAGCAGACGCTCTGGCGTTAGCGCGCACGCACGGTGTGCAGCGGGTAGCTGTGTGCGGCACCTGTCCTGGCGAGGACTGGGATCGCGTTAGAGACTTGCACTCACAGTTCCCAGAAACAGTAGTCCCCAATTTTGGCCTGCACCCGTGGTGGATTGCCAAACTCCAACAGGAGAGGCAGCAGCAGGAGGGGCAGGAGGGGGGTACGGAGGCTGGCTCAGCTACGGGTGCAGATGCGTGTGCGGTTGCGGTTACGGGTGCTGGTGTGCAATCTTTGCAACTGGGTGCATGGGAGCTCGAGCTAGAGGCGCTACTGCTGGCCATTCCTTGCGCAGGCGTTGGCGAGTGCGGACTTGACAAGGCCATTTTAAAAGACTGCGACTACGCACAGCAGGAGTCAATCGTCCTCACACATCTACGCCTGGCCGCCAAGCACCAGCGCACACTCACCCTACACTGCGTGTCCGGAGCCTGGGCAAGAATGCTCGCACTCCTGACTTCCGCAGCTCCCAAGGTGTCGAAAAGAAGTGGGCCTAGAACCCTAGAGCCTAGTACAGGTTCTGACGTGGGCTCCGCGCATTTCCCGTGGTCCACCATCCTGCACTCCTGCAACAGCCTCCCCCTGCAGATGCTTCCCGACTTTGCTGCCCTCCCCGGCGTGTACTTCTCCTTCGCTGCCCTGGGCCGGGTTCCTGACAAGACGCTGAAGCTGATCGCGGCAGTCCCTAGGGACCGGCTGCTGATAGAAACTGACGCGCCGGACCAGCTGCCCCCACACCTCAGACAGAAATCACGCCCCAACCCCAACCCCAACCCCAGCGCCACTGGCGCGGGTGCGGGCGCGGCTTACGCGCAGTACAACGAGCCCGCGCTGCTGCATCTGCACTGCGTCGCTTTGGCCGAGAAACTAAACATGGACCCCGCTGAGCTGGCCTTACTCACGCGCACCAACGCCCTGCGCGCATTCAACCTCGCGTAAAGAGATAAAATTTGTACACTATGAATGATATACCTGTTAGTGTAGTCCGTCACCCCCTTGAAAGGTGTAAAGCTTTAATGTTACTGTAACGTTATTAATACGTTACGTACGTTACCTCCCAATTCTGGATTTTTTCCAGGATCCTTGTTCTCCTTCTTCTGGAACGATCCAGAAGTGTTCTTCAACTCGAGAAGCACCAGCAGCCCTCATTCTTGAACAGTTGAACTGCCAGAGACCCGGTCTTCGTCCACAGGGAGCTGCTTGTAGCCGAGGACAGCGAGGAGGCACAGGAGCAACTCCATTATACTGGACCAGGATCGCTCTCACTGC